TCTGGGCACAATTGTAACTATTGTTTTAATTTCAACATTCATGTTTTCTCTGTTGTAGTTTGTGTATTTGCTGTTTGGAGAGGCTGCTCCTCGTGCCTCTAAGGGGATCTTCTTGTATCTATTCATTATTTTAATGGAATTGATGTTATCAAAAAAAAAAAAAAACATCCATCTTAAACAAAGGCAAAGAGTAACTGGCTGCAAGAGATAATAAAACTCTGATATTGGTCATCTTTGCTACTGGTGCAAAAGTCTCCAAGTAGTCAATACCATATGTCTGAGTAAATCCTTTTGCAACTAATCGGGCCTTATACCTTTCAATGAAACCATCAGCATTATGTTTCACAGTAAACACCCATCTACATCCAACCGGTTTCTTCCCTTTAGGCTGATCAACTATCTCCTATGTATTGTTTTTGATAAAGGCATCCATTTCTACCTTCATTGCATCCTTCCACTCAGAAACTAACAAGGCTTCCTGTACTATTCTGGGAATGGGAATATCAGCAATGGATGCAAGAAAGGACTTGTAAGAGGGGGACAGATGATCATAGGACAAGAACTGGGAAATGCAGTGATTTGTGGACGTGGTGCAACGGCGTTTGCCTTTACAGACTGCAATGGGGAGGTAAAGATCATCCAATGAAAGCGAAGGCTCAACAATGGAAGGTATCTCATCTGTAATATCTGATAAAGGAACTATGGTACCTAGATCTGGATCCGCAGAAGGAACTGGGGCTGGTCTGAACTACTGATGACCAAAATCAACCTACCTCCACCGTCTGTGATAGACTCTCAAATCCCGGCACCTCTGACAACCCTCCCCATTACATCCCTCTTCACTTAATAGGATAGGTAAAGGAACTTTTGATGAGTTAATCCCAATCTTACTACTCTCCCCCTGAGGAGAAACCCTAGGATAATAGGGTACATTCTCAAAGAAAGTGACATCCATATAGACAAATTTCCTCCCAGAAGTGGGTTCATAGCAGCAATATCCCTTTTGAGTTTGTGCATAACCAAGGAAAATACATTTTGAGGCCTTAGGATCAAATTTGGAACGATGAGGGCCAAGAATCTAAATAAAGCAAGTACAACACTACAACCAAAAGTTTTAAGGGGAACGGTAAACAACTCTTTATCAGGATATAAAAGGGTAAATCGAGGTTTCATGTCAAGAACCCGTGAAGGAATTCGATTGATGAGATATACTGCTGTAAGAATAGCATCCCCCAAAAAAGTATAGGCAAATTGGAGTTAAACATAATGCTTCTAGCCACCTCCAATATGTGTCTATTCTTTCTCTTAGCAACCCCATTCTGTTGTGGTGTATAAGGACAGGTACTCTGATGGATAATCCCATGGTCAAGCAAATAAGAGTCTAACGGGTTTGCAAAATATTCTTTCGCATTATCGAATCTAAAAATTCTGATTTTGAACCCAAATTGGGTTAAAATCATCTAATGATAGATCCGGGTCAATGCTGGAACCTCATCTCGAGAACGCATAAGGTAGACCAAAGAAAAACAAGTATAATCATCAACAAACAACAAGAAATATCTGTACCCCCCATGGCAGTGATATGATATGGTCCCCCCAAACATCGATATGCACAATTTCAAAAGGAATATTCTTTTATTACTCAATGAATAGGTTGTCCTACAAAGCTTTGCAAGCTCACGACTCTCACATCTCAAACTAGACATTTGGACAGATTCAAACAAACTAGGAAACAAACTCTTCAAAGCCCGAAAAGATAAACGACCCAACCGATTATGCCAAAGCATAACCTGACCAACAGATTGAGAAATAAAAGACCTCTTAGTTTCACCATCTTCCCAATGAGAACTCCCTCCAAGCAAATAGATTCCATTTGTCTCACAGCCAGTCCCAATCACCTTCCTTGTCTCCAAATCCTGAAAAACACATCGATCAGGAAAAAAGGTTATTGAACAATTATGGTTTTTTGTAATGCTACTAACTGAAAGCAAGTTATTACTAAGTTTAGGAACATGTAAAACCGAAGATAAGGAAATGGCATTAGACAACTTGATATCTCTCTTGCCAGAAATAGGAACAAGAGAGCCATCAGCAATGGACACTTTGTCTCTGCCGAAAGATAAATGATAGGTAGTAAACAGTGATGGCAAGCCAGTCATATGGTCAGCTGCTCCTGAATCTATTACCCAATAATGTTCGGTATTACCTCGAGCTGAAGCATGGTAAGCTGAGGCCCGATTACCTGAATGAGCAAAAGCTGAGGTTGGAGGAGCTGAATTACCAACTTCATTTTCCAACCGAGTCAAAGCAGCTCGGACAGCAACTAGGGTGTCTAGAGGAGTGCCTCTTGTGCCCAATGAAGTTGTACTATCAATGTTAACAGCCATATTAGCATTCCCCTTTTTGTTTCTGAGTTTTGTTGGATCTAGATGAGGATGCAACTTCCAACAGGTGTCTTTAGTATGTTTAGGTTTCTTGCAATGTTCACATACTAGGTCCCTCTTAGCTTCCTTCTTCATATCCCTCTCTTTATCACCCCCAGACTTAGGTTTAACTACTGCTAAGGCTGATTTGAAAGGTTGTTGCTGCAACATAACCTTTCTCCTAGCCTCTTCACTATGCACTAGGGAATATGCTTGTGATAGAGTCACATTGTCTCTTGTCAACAACTGTCATCTCACAATACCATATTCAGAATTCAAACCAGCCAGAAACTCAAAAAACTCTATTAGTTTCAACCTGCTTTCTATAAGTCTATGCATCCTTCTGACTCTCCCATTCAATTGTTTCAAGGTGGTCAATTTCATGCCACAAGGATTTCAAGGTTGAAAAATAAATGGAGACATGTTTCTCTCCCTGCTTGAGATTGCTAACCTCACATTTCAGCTCATAAGCCCTAGCAACATTAAGGGGCTGGGAGTAGGTTTCTTTCATAACATCCCATATTTCTTTAGCTGTTTTTGCCCACAAGTAGTTTCGTTTGATATGTGACTGCATAGAGTTGCACAGCCATGTCATCACCAAATAATTTTCCTGAACCCACTTAGCATAAGTGGGATCCTCCTTAGTTGGTTCCTTCACATCCCCAACAAATAGTTCAGCTTTCCTCTACCCCCAATGGCCATCATGGCTGATTGGGCCCATTCTAAGCAGTTTGATCCATCAAACTTAACAATTGCAATCTAAAAAGTGCTCTCAGTCATGTTACTTGAACCACCAGTCCCAGAAACACCTTTCCCTTGGTTCTTAAACTCCATTCTTGGCTAGGAGTTAATTAAAATCACCTTCTAATCACAATAATAGGGGAGTTAAACCCAGAAACTAATAACAATCGACCTAGAAGAAGAATTCAGATTTGGCAGTAGTTCTAAAACAAAGAACAGCTCTATTGGGTCTTCCAGAGAGCAAAAACAAACTTAAATTGAGAGAAGCAAGTCTAACCACCTATCCGAAAACAATAACAGTCCTGGATTTTTAGGGTTTTCTCTTAAAACCCTAAAAAATATAAAAAAAAAGTGAATTTTTTAGTCGTACCTCTCAGATTAAACTAACCTTGCTTCCGGCCTCAAGAAAGAATGAAAGCTTACCCAGAAAATTTTGAAAAAACTGATCTGATCCAAAAAACCTCTGGAAATTCTGATTGCCACCTTCAGTCTTGATCAAAAAACTGATCTTGATCCAAAAAACCTCTAGAAATTCTGATCACCACCTTCAGTCTTGATCAAAAAACTGATTTTGGACTCTTTATCTTTCTCTGATTCTTCCTGATTATCAAGAACTCAATCCAATCTTTGGACAGCTGCTACAACTTCTGATTACCTCCAAGAATCAGCCGAAAAAGAAAGATCTTTCTAATCTTCCAGCCCTAAGCAATTCTCATGTGGTCGACTGGATCAGACTCACATGAGAAGCCCTAGATCCTGCGCTAATACCAAGTAGTCATACAAGACTACAACCAGTCTTAGGTTTTGAACAGAAAATAAATAAAACTAGAAGAAAAAGAGGAGAAGAGAAGGAGAGGGAAAACACGAAGAGAGATTTCTGAGAAAGAGAGAGGGGTTATTCCAAATATCTGCCCCACTCTTATATTTATATTCATATTCTCATAATTGTAAAAGGATTGAATTACCCTTATTGCTTACATGGCAAAATAATAAGATAAAGACTAATATAACGCTGAAATAAACTATTAACTACTAACAACTGAAACCTAACATAACTAACTGCCTACTACTGTCATACGAACACAGTGGGGTCCACATCAGTGTTCTCTACAAAAACTAAGGTTATAGACAAAGAATACGTTCTGAAGTTGACCTGTAAACTTTAAGATTTAGAGCAAGAAAAATTTTACTCATAGAAAATGTAAATGATTGTAATAGATCAACCAAATAATTTATTACACAAACAGAAAACTAATATTTAACTTCGTGTTTGAAATAATATTGAGCTTGCTCAAAGTGGTAATCATTTAAGTTAGGCGGACAATAATATTGCTACTTAACATATTTACAATAGTGTACCAACTTATGTTATAATATTATCTCTTGGACTCCACATAGTACTAGTAGTGTTCATTGGGGAATATGTTGATTCCAGTAAAATTTCATGTCGCTACCCATGGAAGTGGAAATGGAAATATGTCATGGAACCTATTTGTTGTACTCCACATGGTGCTAGCAGTGTTCATTGGGGAAATGATTCCAGTAAAATTTCGTGTTGCCACCCATGAAATGGAAATATGTTGTGGAAACATTAGGGAAATTAAGGACATTTTAAACCATGGATATACCTTTTTCTCTTTGGATGGTAACAAGGTCAAAAGAAATTAATTGAGTCAATATCAGAGATAAGTAAAAGCCCTGACCTAATAGAAAGAATAAGGAAGAAAACATCCTACTAGAATGATAACTCAAACATGGAAAAGAATACAACTAAAAGGAAGAAAAATGCTCAAATTCAATTATAACCATGAAAACAATATCTTAGTAGTTACTGACCTCAATTCCCATCAAAGGCGGCATCTCAACTTGTGTGCATGCTAAGAATGTGATACCCTCGCGAACAATTTGGAAAAGATAGTGCGTTGGCGAGGCAATCACCGGCGGAAGCTACAACCCAAAGAAAACAAGTGAACGAAAGCAATTCGCTAGCATGCAATTGTTGAATCCACATTGAAATTCATACTAACAATGAAAAAAAAAAAATCAATATTTTTTTCTATTGGGGTTTCTGGACACTGAGTACCTTGACGAATTCCCCTTGAGAGATGGATTGCTCCCAAAACCACGCACATATGGACCTGTCCACCTTATGTCCAGTCAATTGTTTCTCAAGCATTACCTCCCTGCAGATCGTAGCGTATAAAGTTTCTTGATCGGCCTCACCCATTCGGTAAATTGAAATTTATTGACTAAAGGAGAAACCATAGTCCAACACAACTACAACTACAGGGCCAATCGACTCAAAAGGGAAAGATGAAAAATCTCTTCGGCAGTACATAGAAATGAATAACAACTTGAAATCTCAGACTCTATTCGTAAGAAATGAAGAACGAATAACATGATATGCAGATTCCAAGAAGAAATGGCGAATGAATTACAACAACAATCAAATAAATTTGATAGATCTCGTGCTAGAAACACTGCTAATACACAGGTAATCTGAAACGAAGAGGATATGAATAATTTGAAGGCGAGCTTACCCGGAGTCCGATAAAAGGAAAATGCACTGCAGCATCTCGCTCTCTCTCTCTCCCCCTCCCCCCCCCCCCCTGCTCTACACACACGAACCGATCGTCCCTCCTCTTGTTGGCCGATTTAACTGAATCCAATGGCCAGAATTCGCAATGCAAGACTGCAAGGACTGCACTCTGGAACAAGCAAGATATTCGCAATGCGCAGCTGTTATATTTCGTGGGTAGCGATGTGGGAACAATTAGCAGGTAGCTGACAAAATCTGAGTTCCTATCTACAATACACTACACTACTTGTACGAGTTCACATCAACCCAGGAGGCGCCCCACAACGTCCCACTACATAGTGCATATTCATTCCAGCTGTGTATTGAAAACATCTCCAGATGATAGTTGTTCCGAATACACGTGGGGCTGATTTGAACTCTACTTGTACACCGTCGAACGGTGACAGTAATGTTTTAAAAATCGATCCGAATGCCGAACCGTTTTTCCACCGGGTCACGGGTTATCGGTTCAAACTTCAGAGTTGAACAAGTCAACCTATGATATCATAATTAAAAATATTAATATATATATAAATAAAAAAAAGAATATATAAACCTGGAATAGCAAAAATATGTTTGGAAGCATATGTAAAATATAGTAGCCAAAAATTAGAAGTGTAAAGTAGGTCGTGTCGTGCTGGCCCATGGGCCACCACGGGCCATGTCGTCCTCCCCGATGGAAATTTTGGGGGTCAGCCTGGCATGGCCCACTGCCTAGGCCCAGGCAGACCCATGTTGGCATGCGGGCCTGGGCCTGGCTGGGCTGCAGGCCGTACCGTGGGTTTGGGCCATGTCGGGTTGGGCCACAAGGCGGGCCTTGGGCCTAGGCCGAACCGGGCTGCACTATTTTTTTTCATTTTGTTTTGTTTTTTTTTATTTTGATTTCTTTTCTAAGTAAAATTATAAAACTAAAATATTTAACTTTCCTATGAACTTTGGGAATTGGGAACTATTTAAAAAATTAAGAAATGAGAAATCTAAGTTATTTAACACATAAATGAAAAAAAAAAAAACTTAACCAAATTGAAATAAGAATGATGGAATAACAAATTGGAAGAAAAATAGGAATTTTATTTCATTTAAATTTGAATGGTACAAATTAGTGAATTACAAATACAATGATTGGATCATTGCATACTTGGATGAATGAAATATAAAAATGGAATAAATTAATAAAATATAAAAAATACAATATGATTACAAATTGAAAATACAAAATTACATTGTTAAAAAATTAAAAAATATATATCAAATAAATTAAATAAATTTAAAAAATTACAATATTTTGAAAAAAATGAAAAATTCTATACAAGTGGTCAAATTCATGAATCATCATTCATGACTTTCATCATCTACTTCATGTGAAATGTCCAGTGTTATATCATGCCCTCCCTTATCTTGTAATTTATCTTATGTATCTAGGCAATCCTTGAAACAGATGCACATCTCTATGCTCTCATCGTTCAAGCAACTTATTTTGTCATCCAACACCCTGATACCTGCACTAAAACAAGACTCCGATGGAATTGTAGACACCGGAGGGGTTAGTAGATCDCGTGCCATGGCAGCAAGAACCGGATAATTTTTCGATTATTCACTCCACCAGGGTAAAATATCAAAATTATTTGATACTTCACCTAAATTAGAAAAATTATTTGCTTACAAATAAAAATTAAGTTCAGTAAATGAACTTGTTGTAGAACTTGCAGATTTTCTCTTCTACTACTGGCCTCAAGGTCAGAAGTAGAAGTAAAAGAAGAAGATGATGAACAAGTTGTAGGAATTTCCTACAATTTCATATTCATACAAACTGTACATTTCAAATAATAAATTATTAATTTCTTCTTTTTTATTTCCTATATCAATATTCGTATTTTCACAATATGTTTCAAGTAAAATATATAAACCATCTTTCCTAATCTTAGGGTATAATATTGTAACTAAACAATAAAGGGGAGAAATGTTCTCCCAATATTTTTTAAATTTATTTTCCATAATTTCAACAATACATTGAAATTGTGGATTATTTCTATATTTAGCAAAACAATCACTTATTACCATTAATTGATATGGTAAATTACTAGTTGGATAATAAATTCCAGATAATTCATTTGTTGCATCATAAAAATGTTTTAAAAAACCTCTTATACAGACTGTCATTTCCCAGTCTTCCTAAAATATCATATCATTAGGCATTTTTAAATTATAAAAATAAAAAACAATTTGTTTATGAGATATACAACATTCTAACATAGCATAGGTAGAATTCCACCTATGCTTTACATCTAATATAAAATGTTTATATTTTAAACCATAATTTTGGCATAAATATTTAAATTCTTGTTTTCTTGCCCCTGAACTTTTTATACATATATAATACAATTTTTAACTTTTGAAATATGAGTAGAAATAATATTCAAGGCATCTTGAATACATGACATGCACATCTAATATGAAATAATTTACCATTTAAGCATGATTTTAATTGAGATTTTAAAATATTTATTGCAGAATCATTATTGTTGGCATTATCAAAACTAATAGTTAATAGCTGAAAATAGATTTTAAAAGTTTCTATTCCATAAGCATGCAAAGTATTTAAAATACTTGCAGCAATAGCTGGGCCACTATGTGGACATTCAAGCCTAGTAAAATTTAAAATTCTTTTATTCAAAAGCCAATTTTCATCAATGAAATGGCCGGTAATACAAATATAACTAATATTAAATTTGGATGTCCAAACATCCGAAATAATTGCAACTTTAGAATTAAGATTTACGAACAAAAAAATTAAATTTTGTTTATATGAATAAAAAATTTTTAAAGCATCAGTTCTTATARTATTCCTAKAAAMTTTTTTATATTGTGGGTTTATAGAACTACGCAACCATTTTTCTAGCTTTGGATCTTCAGYTAAYATAAATGGTTRTTCTRCRWGYACAATATACTTAGCAAGTTCTTGTCTCATTTTTTCTTGTGAATATCTAAAAGTACCAAAACTAGTCCCCCTCCCAATTTATGTTTGGCATGTTTCTCTCCCTTCATCTTTCTCTCGCTCATGTATGAGCAAATGTCTGCTTAAATGACCCATACCACCCTTGCTACAATAACTAAAGTCTTTCCTATAGTTTTGTCAAACGGCCCTTTTCCCCTTCCCATCAATATCATCTGATTTGAAAACTTTCCAAATCGGGCTACTCAGCTTAGAAGCCATCCTTTTTCCCCTAGTATCACTACTACCGGGGGTGAAAGTTCTACTTCCATCGACATCAATCGCATCAGTGCTAACACTATCGTGATGCGATTGAATGTCATCCATGGTGAACATGTTGGGGAATCGATTTTTAGAAGAGCCAACCATTTTTTTTTAATTCTAAAAAGATAAAAATTAATCTAATTCGACTTACCCGAATTGTCGGTTCAAAATCCCAACCTGATTTCAACGGGTGAAGCCTTTCAACGTCCAAGCCTCCTGAATTGAGATACTTGAGCTAATTGAGCAAGCTTTCTTCTTATCGCAAGTCGAAACTTCGATAAAGTTGAAACTTAAGAATTGGAGAATGCAGAATCAGACAATCAACTAATTAGAATTTCTCAGATTGCAGATAATTGAGAGAGAGAGAAGAGAATGGTGGAGGATAGGGCTATTTATAGGAATTGAACATAATTCAGTTGCCCAAAATACCCAAAAAACTATATGTTATTTAGTTGTTGGGAGGGGTATTTTGGTCATTGTAAAGTTACTTATAACTTTACCCAAAATGCCCCCTAAACTAGTTGTTATATAGCTATTGGGGGGTATTTTTGTAAACCCCCCCAAAAAAAGCTGAAACTGGGGGGCCCAACGGCTATATTCCCGGGCGGGTCGAGCGTGGCCTGCTACGGGACTATCGGGGCCATGCTTCGTGTCGTGTCGTGCCATGTCAACCCATGGGCCTCGAACCCCCAATCCAGGACGGCACGAACCTTTGTGCCAGGTCTGGCCGGGCTGGTCCAAAATCGTGTCAGGTTGTGCTAGGCCACGAGCGGCCCGACCCGATTTACACCTCTACCAAAAGTAAATGAAAAAAAGCAAAAAAAAAGCAAAGAAAACTATCAATAATCATTCTTAAAACATGATATTTTCTACATATAAAAGCAATTTAGACATATGATAAAAGAATATCATTCTCAAAAACATATCATTTTATATATATCATTCTCAAAAAAAAATCATAACAGAATTTAAAACATAAGAAACTAAGAGATTAAATATACACGTAATCTATCATTAAATGAAAATAAAAATAAAAGAATACCGTGTTCAAACGAGATCACATTGGCGCCTCACATGCCCATCTCAGCATGCATTGGGATTTGGGACTGTGGGAGGTGTTGTGGGGCACCCTCTTTGGGGCGCCAATCTAATGTCTGTTCAAACTTCAAGCTTGAAGCTCTAAGAATCCAAACACAAAAAGGGTTGTCACAACCGTTAAATAATTAAAGCACAAAGGGCCCATTCGTTTGCAGGTAAATATGTATGGAAAAGTTAGTCAATCGGTAACTTTTTCCCATTGACCAACTTTATCATGTTCTTTTTGGGCCCAATAGTAAAATTATCCTTACTTTCCTGGATAAAACTTACCCATTTTTTAGGTGAATAAGTAATTTTCCTGATTAAAAGAAATTTTTACAAAATATGATGAGACCATTTTACCCATTTTAATAGTTACTTTTTGTGGGTACAAATGTCATTTTATTGTTTACCTAAGAATCCTAGAAACCAAAAGAACATGTGTAAGTGTATTTACCTAGATAAGTTACATTGTTACGAACAAGGTCTATGGGGTTAAAAAAAGCATTAATGTTGTGTTGGTTTGAAGAAAAAAAAAAGGGAAAGGAAGGGAAAGGTAAGAAAACCTTTACAAACCTTGAATAGGTTTCCATACCTTTTCCTTCAAACCAAACATAGCCTAAGGGAATGATACAAAAATGAAAAAAAAAAAAAAAAAAACATATATAAGAATGAAAGGTGCACTAGATTAGAAATAGAATGTTAGATAGCAGTCGGTTTGAGTATTAGAAAAAAATTGAAAATGAAATTAAAACTTACCATCAGGCCAAAACGTTGAATGTGAATCATCCAAATCCGATTGCATGTCGCTGGAGATAACCTATGGAGTTTCTGGCACTAAATCCCTCATTCAATGAAGCTGGGATCTCTGTTCTATTCTTCTCAAAGACAAATACTCCTTCCTTTCTTCTCAGCAAATCCTTAAAACTAAAAAGAAAAACAAAATGAGAATGAAAACAAAAGAGAGTCGGGCAAAGGGCTAGGACATGACTGGCATTTTCAAAATTTTTAAACCTAAAATTTGTAAATAAAAAATAAATTCACGATATGAACTGTTGCTCGCTAACCAGGTCATCCGAGTCAGTGGTTCAACCACCCAGGGTCAACGATTTATTGACTTGATCAACAGTTTTTCATTAAAAGACAGATTTTGATAAAACCTGAACCGGAAAAGTGGTCGGGTGATAGTTCAAATGGTTTGACCATCTGGGTCAATGACAGGTTGAAAACGTTGATAGTGGGGTTTATAACAGATACGCATACGACTGGCCATATGGGTAGTTGGATTCCAATCCAATGTAATACACAAGCCACAATTCACAATTCACATCATTTTCTTTTTCATTTTTCCTGTTTTAGCTTTGCCTTTTAAGGGCGTTCTTCTTTTTTTTTTGGATTTAGAAAGGGGGGAAAGTTGGTCACTGTGATTTTAGTTCCCATTGATTAAGAATCCAATGTTACTTTTTCAGATTTATGTGGGGACTAGTGAAAGTTTATTTTCCTGGTATCACGTACATGTCACTTATCCAGATAAGTGATACTCATCTCCTAAATGGGTAAATAACTTTTTCACCTAGCGGAAAAGTTGCCAACACTTGAATGAGACAAAAATACCCCTTTTAATAATAGATTTTTATGGATAAAATGGTCATTGCCTTATTTACATGAAAAATAAAAGAACATGGGTAAATACAATTATCCAGATAAGTGTTTCCCAAAAAAAACTTACCCAGATAAATAACTTATAAAAAAGCGAACGAACCTTTATTTCCAATCGTTTTTGCCTTTTTTTAGCTCGGATCTATAAATGCAATCAAAAAAAATTTTAACAGCCTAACAGGGCTCTGGGGTCATGCTCAATTAATATTGCAAGAGCGTGGGCAGCATTACAAACTCTCATGTCTCATTGTTTATCTTCCACCTGCCTCCGTACAAGACTTGTTCACGGAGAGGCCCATTAGAATTTTGGCAAAAGTTAAGCCCGAACATAGTCCATAAACAGAGGTCTACTCCCCACCTTGGACTTGGAGTATCAAGAACATCTTTAAAGAATGCTATCTTGTGTGCACCTGGATAAGCCTCAACGTTCAATATTCTCATGTCTTTAGAAAAGCTAATTTTGTAACTGAATTGATTAGCTAATGTAGGTCGAAATATTGATTTAAGTGGTTCTTGGGGTTTTTAGGTATTTTCGCTTATATTTGTTCTGATTCTTAGGGAAGGGCTACCCCATGCTGTGCGTAATCCGGTTGAAGTTCGAGGGGCAAGGGCTAAGTTGAATAACCCCATTCCAACTAGCTAGGTTGGACCAGATCTGAGTTGGAGAGGTTTTGGATCAGGTTCGGTTTCAGCCAAACCCATACTGAACCCAACTTGTTGACATCTCTAAGGTGAGTTCTTTTTTTTTTCTACGAACTAACTAACCAAGTGATGACTTAACCCACAAAATGAATGGTTTGGATCCATTAAAAAAAATAATGTAATACCAACCTAGCATGGTTACCAAATCCCAATCCAAAGATTAGATTAAGTCAATTAAAACTCAAGGAGAACAAAGATCATTCAATCATTGGTAGATCAACACGTATGAACATCTTCATCTGAGTTTTATGAATACAGAGAACAAACTGCATGAACACTACTAAGTTCTAACACTGTAGGTGACTGAAGCTCAAGATCGCGAAGAACAAATGAAAGGAAATAAGTAGGTTACTAAGACAATTCAATCAACCCAAAGAAAAAAGAAGGAAATAACTAATACAAATTAATTATTCATCTTTCAGTAACACAATGAACTACTCAAAAGGAGACAACTTTTTTCCATTTCTTTTCTAGAATAGTAAGTTAAAATGACACTGTGCAACCACCCTATGATTTCGATTATTAATCTTCAGCTGAAGGAACGTCACTTAAATCAAGACCCTCAACGGGCAACTCTTGTGTAAGTGGACCTAGGATCCCATCAGAGCTGAGAGTCAATCCGCTCTGCAGAGAGTTAAAATTAATAACTACAATTAGAAGGGCTTAAACTGCAGATTAGATATGCAAAACAACTGTTTGACCTTTTGGCTGATAATAGTTATCTGCGTCTTTGGATATTTAACCAGCATGTATTACTTACTCTTTTACAACCTAGTAGTCGACCTACATTAGAAGGGAAAATTTGGACTAATAACTGAAAAGAAAATACCTCTGGCTGGAATCTTAGCATGTCAGCACGGGCCATAGCTTCTGCTTGAGCAATTCTCTGCCTGAATGTTTGAGCCATCTCCTCTGCCTGTTAAAATATGATCAAAGATGTATAGTTACAAACCTCAGAAAAACTTGGGAACGACAGTAAGCACTGTGGGAAAAAGAACGAGGGGGGAAAGTCAAAAGGAAAGGCAGGAGTAGATTGAAATGCTTCCTGCCTATTCCTCCCCAACCGTACAGGGGAATATACAATTCCAGTAAGAGAAGAAGAAAGGCAGGATATGTTGAAGGTATCCTGCCCATTCCTCTCCAACCAAGTATGAGAAAGTAGACAGTTCCATTGATCAAGACTAATTAGACCTATTCATATTGAGAAAAACTAATATTTAGCTACAAGCCTACAACTATGCAAAATACGTGATAATTATAAAGAGATCAACAGTTCTTATAACAAGACTTGCCTTCTCAAAAACAAGTTTTGGATTGCGAATCATGTCTCCTGGTGTAGGCTCCAGCTTTTTGGTAGAGAGACTCACTCGGCCTCTCTCACGATCATGGCTCAGTATCATGACCTATACAGTGAGAAATAATTATAAAATAATAAATATGAAAATTATAAAGGATCTTCGCTAGAGAACCAAAAGGTCATAGTAATATACTTTCAGGGTGTCACCAGGTTGCAGAACAGTTGAGATATCTGAGACACGATCGTGACTAATCTGGCTAATATGGAGAAGGCCATTAATTCCACCAATGTCAATGAAAGCACCATATGGTTTCAAGCTCTGCACTGTTCCAGTGACAACTGATCCAATTCCAAGTTGTGCCTGACTATCAGCCATAGCCTTGCGGTTACTCAGGACTAGTCTGGACTGTTCCTCATCAACCTCCACAAATTTCAGTGGGAGTTCCTTATCAAGGAGTTCCTCTGCAGTTGATTTCTGGTAGGCACAAATTTCAGAGTTCATAACCAAAACGGGCAAATTGCAGTTTCCATGTTTTAGATTTCACAACCTTATACAAGTAGAAATAACTAAAATGGACTCTAAAAGCCAGGTTGAAAACTAACTGTTGATATCTGTGAGAATGGAACAAATCCACGAAGACCTTCCACAATTGCCACCACACCACCTCTGTTTCCACCAACAATCTGCAAATATAAGTTTTATTGGGAAAAAAGAAAAACAAAGTGGTTATTGAAAATTGTAAAGTGATATTTGATAAAAAAAGCTGTGAAGTGATATGGTATGAATGCCAACAGAAGCACAACTACACACAATGGTAGGCCAAAAAGAAAGGTAAACCAGTAGATGATCAAGAAGGATTTTGACCAACAAACAAGGACAGTTAGGAAATATGCAGTAGCTTAAAGCTTATAGAGCATAAAGCTTTTTTTGGTAATAAACAAAAAATATTAGGAAATAAGAATGAAAAGTACAAAAAAGGTGATAAAATATCACCCACACACAAAAGAAGAAACAACCCCCAAAACCAACCTCCTATATGGGGTTGGCAACATGAATCCTATTTGGCCATTCCATGCTGTTTAAAGCCAATATTCATCGTGGAATTATGAGTGTATATATTATATATATAGGAGTTGGAATCCAGTGTGTCTAGGAGTCTCACTTAGCAAGACGAAAAAACATGACTTGGGATCCAAAATCTATACTTAAAAATGTTTATGCATCCTTTCCTTTCTATCATCATATTCCTGTAATAGATTGATACTTACTATTAAATGTTCCTGTATCTCAGCCCTACGATCATCATATACCTATAGTAGATTGCATAAGTAAATTTAAAAGTTTCCCTTTTATTACCTAGATGCATCCAAAATCTATACTTAACCAAAATGGGATTCTGCATCTTTTCCTTTCTATCATCATAATCCTGTAATAGATTGATGCTTACTATTAAAATGTTCATGTATCTCATCCCTTCTATCATCATGAGTGGGTGTGGGTGTGTGTTGCTGGATACCCATCTTATATGTCATGTTTTTTGTTTTCCTCGTGTATCATTAATAAAAACATACATATCTTTCGCTGTTACTTCTCACAAAAAGAAAAGAGAAAAAAAAAAGAATTGCAAGTATGAAAATGTAGATTATGCTCCCTACAAATAATTTTTCATGTGGCTTCATGAGAATAGCCATATGTAGAAACTTGAAGTAAGACACTACAAGAAGAAAAGTAAAGGCATGCTTCGCACCTTACCCTTGACGACAACATCCTCTGCCTGAAGCTGTCTGCATCGTTCCCATGCAAGTTCATACTGGATTGATCGTAGGCTCAAGATCAAACTGTCGTCAGCTTCATTCTCTCCAATAATTACAAATTCTTCTCGTAAACCAGGAACAATACCTGCTTCCTCTACATGCTTTATTTTGTGAATGCATGTCTCTTGGACAGGTAAGTATGCAGAAGATTTTGCAGTAATGTCAACAAGTGCTCCATTAGTGTCCGTACAGAACACTGTTCCTTTGACCTGAAAGAAAATTAATATAGCAAACAACCTTTGTTGAATGAGAATGGTAATGAACAATCTTTCAAAAGCTGGGTTAGATTGGTCTATCAATTAGCCCCTAATTGGTTGATCTAAGCCAAAATCTGAAAAGGCAAAAACATGGACTTCAACTATTGAATTACCCCACCAACTGTTGAATGAGAATGGTTAAGAGTAAATATATAAAAGAATTTCTCAGCTTCTGCTTCTAACAGTAAAGAGAGTTCTAAGCATTGTTATGCAATAGAGTTAAAAAACTGTGGAGTAATAAAATTGTTGGTTCTGGTTCTAGAAATGGAATAGCACAGTCAACAAGAAAGAAAGAAAAATAAAGCATTTGTTTCTTGAAGAAAAAATCCAGACTTTGGCAACTCAAGCTTTTCTCGACATTGACATTTCTCGCTAGCCCCAACAAGGAAGTACAAGTCTAATTATATAGAATACCAAACCCAGAAAGAAATCAGCAATCTGTAATTAACAAATTGTTGTCTTCGTTGTGCCTGGAACTAGCAAAGTAAATTCAGGAACATAAGTGGCAAAGAATTACAAGAGCAACAAGAGAAGAATACACAGATTTACATGGTTCGGGATCGGATTAGGGTTTCTTTTGGATGCCCTAATCCAATTACAATTGAAATCGAAATGTTTCCACAACACCGCTGCAGAAGACATTGTATGGACAAATTTCACATAGCGTCCTTTAATACAACACATTCTTCATCTATAGATAACAAACATATTTCAAATTCATTCTCAGCAGAAAACGCCCACAAAAATTTGCAAAACCAACTATTGGGAAACACTTACAAGAAGCAAATTCTCTAATCAATACAGAGAATTTGGCTAACCGAATCACGAATTCGCTATGTACTAACATATTTAGCAATACTCACTCATTCAAAGCATTAAATTCCTATCCTTACAAACGTTTCTTTTCTTCACTTGAAATAATAGTACAAAATCAATACCAGGAGCATTAATTTATCATTTTAAGGTATGTTAAACAGTGATTTAGAAACCGAAGTAAAGAATTATTTAGCCCAGCTACAATAACGCATTCAAACTCATAAGCATCAATCAAATAGTGTTCATTCCCGTGTTTTTCCATAAAATTAATAAAAAGAAGTCAACAATAAAACATCTCACCTTGGTGCCAATTTCGGAGTTGAAGTCGTATTTGTCGAGCGCGTTGTGAAAATCTTCGAGGGTGAACGATACACCTTCCGTTGGTGCAGTTCGACAACGTTCGTAAGCTTCTTCGAACATGTCCTTGAGCTTCTGTCTCTCTTTGGTCTGAGCATTGGAGATGGCGACTGCAGATACAACACGGGAGAAGGTGGCTTTTTGGGGTTTCTGAGAGATGGGTTTGGAGAAGCGAGACGAAGGTAGAGGTGGGCATCTCAGGCCTCCGAACTGCTGAGCCAAAGATGCCATTTTCAGGGATGCAACAATAGTTCTTGTGCTCTACTCTTCTCTGCTTACGTACAGTAGTAGTAGCAGATGAGAGAGGAAAAAGGATTTATCATCACTGGCATATTGGTTTTGCTACCGCAACGCAGATAAGATAGAGAGAGAAAGAATGTTGGGTCGGAGTTTATATGTGCGCCCCACATAGGGCGCCTCACAGTATACCCCAGCGTGCATTGGGAGCATCTCTCGTACTTATTATTGGGAGATGCTCCTAATACACGGTTGAGATGTGCTATTGGGCGTTTGTTGGATGGGCGCAGATGTGAATTCGGTGGGTGGGATTTCAGTGTTTTCACAAGGGAGGTCCCACTTGTTATAATCGATGTAGTTGGACGGTAATGATCATGTGAGTCCCTACCATACAGGGAAACAGCAGGTCAGAGATCTTGCATCCATTGGCATCACAATAAGATGATAGTAGCAAAATTGATGGTAGTTGGTAGTTTCTTTGACTCGTCAGAGTAGAGATGGGATCAAATCCCGCTGCCACCAGGGGTTGGGGGGTTAAGGGAAAGGGGATGGACTATAGTCCCATGAAGCGAAAAAAAAATACACCATGGAAATATACTGTGGGACGTTGTTAAAAGGCCCTTTTTGTGCCGCGGAAATGTAAACTCTTAATAAATTATTAATAAATTTATTAATAAAATGAAACATGAATAACACAACATTTAAAATAACTTCACAAATAGATGTCATATCAAATTTAAGTATGTATGAGCATATATATTTAAATTAAATTAAATCCAATCTTATGAAATTAGATAAGGTGGAAAAATATATTTATATAAGGGAAAATCTACGATATGGCATCATATCGTAAAACTTTGACCAATTCCAACCCTTTGTGAATTTTGTTGAAAATATATCTAATCGGTCCTTATTTTATGATGTCGGTTGATTAATTGCAAGCTCTTCTAATATCATGTCTTTCCATCATCATAGTCAAATCTTTTTTATAAACAGATTAAGGTGGCCTTTAATAAATCTGAAATTTGAAACCTAAAAAGTTAAAAAGATATTAAAAGTGTTTAAAATCTGAGAAGAGACATAGGTGCTTTTTGACTTTTTAGAAGTTCTGAATAAAAAATGTTGTTTGTGTTGGATCAAACCTTCAGCATCTAAAATTCATTGATTTTACTTTTTTTACCCCTAAAATAGACTATTTGGTAATTTTGAGTTCAATTTGCATTATTTCATGAAAATAATTTATCAAATTCAAAATAATATTGAAAAATATGAGTAAGTTATAAAAAATAAAAAAAATTATTAAAATAAGAATAAAATTGAAAATTACATATCAATTTATAAATTAAAATAAATTATTAAGAGTTAAAATAATAATGAAAATAATAATAAAGACCATGAAGCAATAAAAATTTAATAATTATCAAATTAATATCTTAAAACTATTAAAATATTTAATAATTAATAAAAATTAAAATAATTAATACAAATATTATTTATAAAAAATAAAAAATAATTTATTAAAATAAGAAAATTAGAAAGAACCGTCACTGCTACTAAGAGTTGCAGCGGCTAGGGGTGAGCATTATTGGTTAAAATCAAATTACCGAACCAAAAATTTTGGTTTTGGGTAATTCGGTTCGATTAACTCGGTTTTAACAATTTTGGCTTTTGGTTTTGGTTTTTTGATTTAGAAACCGAAAAAATTGAATTAGCTAAAATTCATTATATAATATATAATATACAATATTTAATATTTAATATATAATATGCTATATATTTATATATTAATATATTATATATAATGTATTATAATGAAATTAAATTTCATAATATATATTATAGGTTATAATATATAATAACCAAATTCGGTTTTTAACTGAAATAACCGAAAACCGAACCGAAATTTTCGGTTTGGTTATTTTGGTTTTATTGAAAATCGTTTTCATTTTTTGTTTTCATTTTATTATTTTGGTTTTAAAAATTTCAGTTTATTCGGTTCGGTTTTTAACCGAATAAATTGAATGCTCACCCCTAATTGTCACATATTAGTAAATTTCATTTCATGAGCACCCGAGACCATTGTTGTTGTTGTAATAATGGAAATTTATAGCATTTAGAAAAAAGAAAAAAAAAAGAAAAAGAACTATGCCTAGACAACCTTGTTTTTAATATATAGATTTCTGATTTAATGAGACAAGGGAAGATATTACAAATATTGACTATTGGGGGGGAGAAAGAGGGAGTAATGATAGATTTTAGGGTTTGAATATGATACCGAAAAAACTTACAACCAAGCAGTCAGTATCATGAAAAGAGATCGACTTCAGTCAGTGCAAGGCCCGTTCGAAGCCTTTACAGCCTTGCATTGGTAACATCTCCGTACTTCAATGCTTTATTTCATAGGGAGATATTCCCGATGCAAGGCTATAATGGCTGTTGGAACGGGTTCTGCACTAACTGAATCTGGTTTCTCATGAAAGTAGTAACCAATTAGGGTGGTTTCATCAAAATTCATAGGGGGTTTGATTGTTCAATGCTCTTTTAGCATCATGCCTTCTTGGCATCATAGATTTCCTTAAGGCTGTGTTTGGTTGCTGTGCAATTTTATTTGCACTAGCACAAATGCATTGGAGTTCAAACAAAAAAAATGAAAATTCTTGTTTTATTTTGTTTTGGTTTTTACTTTAATCTGCCTTGTGTCTTAACTTACTTTATTTGTATTGCAATCAAACAAAATAAGTTAAAATTTGAAACAAAAATAGGTCAGAATATACATTCAAATCATTTACAATGTAATGATTTTACATCAATGCAAATACAGCTTAAGGCTCAGTTTGGAAGGAGTACAAATACAAATATGTACAGTACAAATACATACAAAATAATACAAAATGCAATGTTTTGCAATCTACATATTTATATTTATACTCCTTCCAAACTGAGCCTAAATTTTAATATGGAAAATTAAGACGAGAGAGTTTTCATGAGGAGACATGTTCGTAGCTATAGATTTATGCCAATTTGACCCATCCCCGTGGGGCCCTACCCCACCCGTTTCAGTTGGAGTAGGACAAATTCGAGGATCTCCATTCCCTGCAGAGACAAGGATGGGATTGGAATTTCTAGTCCTGATGAGGTTCAGGGTGGGGATGGGGTGAGAAATTTAAGTTTGGGGTCGGAGACAGGGCATGCAAAACCCAACCCCGCCTCAACATGTTGCCATTCCTAGGGTGAGATGTATGAGATTTTGATGAAAATGACAATTCTAACCCTCATGACTCATATGGGCCCATATGTCACATATGTTATATTATCAAATAGATTATATTATTCAATTAAAACAATAAATAAGCAAAAAAATAAGGGATGAAAGAATGGAATTGGATAAATAATGAAAGTGGAGCAAATAAAATGGAAAATTGGGGTTAGACCGTGGGTTTCACGCATGCACAAAGTTGAGAGTCCACAGAAGTAGTTGCCTTTTGAAGAAGGCGGGCAGTCCCTAGAAAATACACAAAAGATTGGGGACAGTCTTATCCCAAGAAAAAGATCAAGCACAAGCACTTAAAAAACCAATCAACTCTTGCTTATTTTTTAGGGAAAAGTACCAGACATCCGATGCAGAATTCTGAATTCCAGCCCCCCTACAAATAGCCCTGTCCCCCCTATAAACCACATCTTACCCGTGAATTTGGTATCAATTCAAGGTCACGATGCATTTTCCCCTATATTTTGGGCTTAGTCAATTCTGAGCTGGGCTGATTTATACTTTTCCCTATTTTTTAAGTGTTTATTTTCAAATTTTAAACTTATTTATCGAAAAAGAATAATTATTTATTTTCCACTTATAATCTGATCTCAGCACTTTCCAAACAGGGGATAAACCCTCTCCACTCGAGGTGGCAATGGGAATAGATCCCATGACTCCCCTATACCAAAGTTGTAAATGTAATAATCAATTGGCTTGAAAGAATTTATTTATAGGAATAGGATGTTCTCTCTCTCTATCTCTCTTGCATCCACGTGCCCCTCAATTATTATTATTATTATTATTATTATTATTATTATATCAAGAAGTAAATAAATAAAAATTAGCTTCTGTATATAATGATGATACCTGCCTTGGCTTCACATTTAGGCCACCATGCACTATAGCTAGCTACTCCTTAGTAGGGCTGTCAATGGATTCTTAAAGTCCATATCCGATCTAGATTATCCCAAATTTGGATGATGTATTTATATAATCATAATGGATTTAGATTTTGTAATTTGCATTCGATTAATAATTTGATTGGATACAAATTTGAGTCCATCCGATCTAGTTCAAATTCAAATACAATTAATATAAAATTTATATAATTATATTTCAAATTATAAAAAATATGATTTTATATATTATATTATATAATTATTAATAAATTCAATATGATATATTTATATTTGTTTATTTTTCTATGTCAAAAAATTTTAAGACGAAATTGGATTAAATTCAAATTCGATCTCGAGTCCATCAAGACAAGGTTTTTAAAACCGACTTGGAGAACGAACTAGTCAGGGGTCCGGTTCCTGGGTCGAACGGTCGGCCCATTTTGACAAAAAAATAAAAAATAAAAAAAATAGAAAACGGTCAAACCATTTGAACGGTTAACCGCTTGAGTCAACGGTTTATTGACCAAAATTAATGGTTTTTGGAAAAAATCCGATTTTGAGGAAAAATAGAACCGATCACTTGACCGGTTCCCGATTTTTCCAGTCCGACCGTCCGATCTGGTTTTGAAAACCATGCATCAGGACTTAAATTTGAATCTAATATAGTGAAATCTTCAAACCCGGTCAGATTTCGGATCGGATTCAAATGTCATTTTTTCAATGATAGGATCGGATTCGAATTTTTCTAAATCCGATCCGTTTACAGCACTATGACCCTCAGTTAGCTTGACGTCCAGCGCCCGTTTTCGGATTTGCTCCTCACACAGCGACCCCGCATGCGCGAGCGAGCGAGAGACTGAGAGAGTACACTTTGAACGAGAGGATGTGATAAAAGCAAATAGCTACCCCTCAATTAGCTTGACGTCCACAGAGAGAGAGAGAGAGAGAACTGTGAACGAGAGGCTGTAATACAAGGAAAAGTGGGGCTCGTCTTATCCTTGTTGAGTAGAGGAGAGGTGAAATAGAAAATATGGGAATGAGGCGACCTCCGGATTCAAACTCAACCTATCAAAAATACCTCAGAACTCATTTTGAGGAGGAGAAGAAAAGAAGGTGAAGGGTATGGCCAGGTTGGTGGTGGTGCAGCAGAAACAGCCTTCCTTCTCTCTCCTCCCATCTTCTCTATCTGACTTCAATGGCGTTCGATTGAGTAACAGCTCAATTCAGGTAGAATCTTGCCTGTGACAGTTTCCATATTAAAAGAGTACAAGAATCCATTGTCTCTGTCTCTTTCAAACAGAAACGTAATTGCGCAATGAGGTGGATTAGAACTATGCCCAATTCCCAGTGAAAAAGTCTGTCTGCTTCATGGTCATTGGGTACATTCAAATTGCTCAATAATTTCCTTCGCTTGGTTTAGCTTTGAGCACTTGGTGAGTGAACTCGGGATTCCTTACAGTCGATTCACTGCCCAGTTGTTGACTCACAATAACAATTGAAGGAAATTTTGACCAACCTTACGTTTCCGACCATTTGAATGGCTCAGTAACGACTCATCGTATCTAGTTTTCCGAGATAAAATTTTACTGACCGACTTCGCAGGGCTAATAACCTGGTTTTCAAATTAAACAAAGAAAAGGCGACTCTGCCGTCATTTTATTCTCAGTAATTCATTTTTGTTGCAGCAGTTCAGTAAGAGGAAAGAATGGCAAGCAAAGGGAGCATTCCAGGTGAAGGCATCAAGTGCCAAGAAAATTCTAATAATGGGAGGAACTAGATTTATTGGCGTGTTCTTGTCGAGGCTCCTTGTCAAAGAAGGCCACCAGGTGTTCACGTTATGTCCTCTCTTAATTTTAACTATTTGGACATCGGGTTTTTTTTTTTTTTTTTTTTTTGGGGGGGGGGGGGGTCGTAGTTTTTAATATATATATTTTTTATTAATAATTGAGGACGGGCCCAAAATACGTGGTTGGCAGGTGACTTTGTTCACTAGGGGAAAAACACCCATCACCCAGCAACTGCCCGGAGAATCAGATCAAGATTACGCAGATTTCTCTTCCAAGGTAACCATTGCGTTTCTCCTCACTGGAATCGTTTGGATCTGCTCCTTGCGATTCCACAACTTTTGCAACAGTAATGCATGCATAAACTTTTTTAGCTAGCCAAAAAAAATAAAAAAGCTTTTTAGTGGGAAATCTTCTTTTGGGTCTTTTTGTACTGGGGTTTGTGCTGTAGATAGCCTTTTATTGTGTTTTTATACTCCATTGAAGGCCATGATTTTTGGTTTTAGCCCCGCACTACCACAATACATTGTATTTGGTTTTGTGACCGTTGGGTATTTATCAGATAAATGTTTATTTGAAAAACATTATTTTAAATGTTTATTACTTTTATTATTTGGTTGGATGTTTTATGGGCCTTTTCAAATAATACCTCATGCATTTTCGGAAAAAAAAAGTAATACCTCATAAATTTGAAAAAGCGCCTCGCATAAGCATTTCATTTTAATAAATGTCAAGGCAGTGGAAGAACAAAAATTTGAAATTTCCTCGAATTGTCATGCACATAAATCATAAAATTTCTGTTTTTTAGTATTTATTTGATAAATGTTGAAACCAAATAATTGTTTTATACACAATAAACGCCAACATCTATATGAAACTGATGTGATGGTGTTTTTTCGATTAAACTCCCACGGAGCCAAAAATAGGCAATGTCTTAGCAAAAGTGAACTCTGGTCTTTTAACGATAAAGTGGTGAAAATATTTGACAGCAACAAGGGTCAAGGGGTGTGCAACGGCTGAGTTAAGCTAAGCCCCTTGGACCTCAAAATTATTTCCGGGCCAGACCACGGGTGAGAGGTGCAAGCCGTGAGGTCTATATCCATGCTTAAGAAATTTTACAAAAGTCATACCCAAAATATATCGATTACCCTTGAGTCTTGACCCCCAAATTCTACCAAACAGTGCCATACCTATTGTCCCCCTTGTGGAAGGAGAAAATATAGTCTCATAGTAGAAAAAGCAACAAACTTAAGATTTTGCCTTTTTAAATCTTTCCACTTATCAAAATAGCAGAACATGCTTATCATTCGTTGGTTCAAGAATGGGAAAAATTCACAAGTTTAATGTTTTATGATATCGGAATTTTCAATCCCGTCGCTTAAAAAAAAGAAATTTCAATCCTGTGCCTGCGAATGATAGTTTTTTCGAAATAGGGATTGCAGAGTAATAACATCACAATTGAGTATTCGTTTTGAACGAATGCTAGAAAAATATTTGGCAACTCCCTTAACAAATTAGAAATTAGAAAACAATGTTAAAAGTCATCAAAAATAGTTTAGACATTAAACATGAAAAAATATGGTGTCTAACCATGGTCTGTTGAGTAACAAGCTACACTTGAGTCCTTTTCTCATTTAATAAATGGGTCTTAAAATTAAATTGCCATGCAGGCCCATGGTCGGCAATTCTGTTAATAATGTACACATTGACAAATGTAGAATCTTCTCAAAATCGTATTCGTCTTATTTGATATAAATGGCATATAATAAGAATCCAGTTATTTATGTTAATTTGAGATTAACAAATTCTTTTCTTTATGTCTGTAAACCTTGTTGGTTGGTAGATCTTGCATTTGAAAGGAGACAGGAAGGACTTTGAGTTTGTGAAAACCAGCCTTGCAGCCGAAGGCTTCGATGTCGTCTACGATATAAATGGTCTCTCTCTCTCTCTGCAATATTTTGTGTTTCATTCTTTGCACATATCCACTGTTTAATGTTTAAATATTGTTTTTAGTTGAAAATTTCGAATTCATTAACACAGGAAAAAACACACAGAGATCATACAACAAAAATGACTAGACACGAAACAAGGAAACCAAATAAGTTAGCCTAATTAGAGAACCCAAGTGAACCAAAATAAAAGGGTTCACGCTAAAGAACTCAGCTATCCAAACGGGAGGTTGAACAAAAATTTCTCCGACAGACATAGGACCCTTTGAGGTCCTAGTTAGAGGGAGCAGGATGAGCCGCTGCATTTGTTCGTCGTTTAACATAATTGAATCTAACATTTGTACTAATGATAGTTGTAGTTATGTTCAAATATTCATGGTTATGATTTCTTGTCATTCTTTCAGGACGAGAGGCGGATGAAGTAGAACCTATACTGGACGGACTACCAAAGCTAGAACAGTAAGCCTTCTCAATCTTTCTAATGTTCGGGACATCCTACTCCAAATCATGCACATATGAAACTTTGTCTTTTGACTATATAAAGAAAAGGATGTTATATCAGTCACTATGTCTGCGATTGACATCCCAATAGATTGTCTTTGTTGCTCTATCAGTCAGTAGCCTGATTGGACCATCAAGACATGTATAAGGTAGCTAAACTTGTATTGACCAAATAGATGGATCCAAAATTGTTTATACACCATTACGTTAGGGCTATTGTTGTGTTCGCATCTGCTATCACAGCAATTCAGGTGATGCTATGAATTTATTCCCATCCTAATCTGTCCATGTTTCCTTCGGGGTCGCAAGGGAGTGCTGCAACAATGGTCACAACAGATATGATTTTGCTAGTTGCTATTGTTTCAGATGTAATACAACCAAGAGCTTTAAAGTTTAACCATTATAATAATGGTATTCAAGATTATGATAACAGCCTTTGTAAAACTGATTGCTTGTTTATTCTAAACCAAGACTAATTCTGTTACAGGTACATATACTGCTCGTCAGCCGGTGTGTATCTGAAATCTGATCTTTTACCCCACTTTGAGGTGAGTCCCACCATTTTTATGCCAAAATCTGAAGTGCCTTAATTTGCTTCTCAGGTCATCCTACAAGGTTTCCAATGAATAGAAAATAGAAATTAGCAAGGATTTGGTCTCGTTTCTAGCTCATAAGCTGAAAAATATGTTGGAAGGTTGAAGCCAAAAGAACACATCCATTCATTTTGTTTGACATGGTGTGGATATATCAATGCCAACTCTTTGTCCACTTTCTCTAACAAGATACTGGGAACTCTATAATCTAGTGCCCGTTGAGCTCAAAGAGTAGGCAACTCTTTGTCCAGTTTCCCTAACAAGATACTGGCAACTCTGTAATTTATCTCCCCATCCCATCCCGACTTCTCTCTAGTAATATCAATACCACTAGTAGTAATGTAATATTAATTCCTGTGTTGCTGTTGCTGTTGCTGTAGACTGACGCAGTTGATCCAAAGAGTAGGCATAAGGGAAAGCTTGAGACTGAGAGCTTGTTAGATTCAAGGGGTGTCAATTGGACTTCTATTAGGCCAGTCTACATTTATGGCCCTTTGAACTACAACCCTGTGGAGGAATGGTTTTTCCATAGATTGAAAGCAGGTCGGCCTGTTCCAATTCCAAACTCTGGAGTTCAGATAACACAACTTGGTCACGTTAAGGTCAGAAATTCATCTTTTCAATTTACAATAATCAGCAGACATGATTTGGCTTATATTAAATTGTAGTACTTGAATGACGCAAACTAAGTTCGAAGCAAATTCCAGGATTTGGCGAGGGCCTTTGTTCAAGTTCTTGGCAATGCAAAAGCAAGCAAACAAGTCTACAATATATCTGGGGAGAAATATGTTACCTTTGATGGATTAGCTAGGGCATGTGCTAAAGTATGTATGTTAATATATTATATTGTAATATCTAGTTTATTAACTGGCATAACGAATTAATGGTGGTTTATTTATTTATATCTTTGTTTCTCAGGCCGCTGGATTTCCTGAACCAGAGATTGTCCACTATAACCCCAAGGAGTTTGATTTTGGTAAAAAGAAGGCTTTTCCATTCCGTGACCAGGTAAATCTACACCTACGCACTGTTGTCCCTATTATTGGTAGAGCAAAATTGATTGATAAAATAAAGAACAAAACGATACGAATTCCATTGGAACTAACCTAGTATTTTATCAAGATATTGATTGGGAAATGAAAAGACAAATCCGTGGTTACAAAATATTCCTAATAAAAGGTCTTTTCCACAAAGACGATGCAAACAATCTAGATCACATACTAATGATATGTAATGAAATGCAGCATTTCTTTGCATCAGTTGAGAAAGCTAAGACTGAGCTGGGGTGGAAGCCTGAATTTGACCTAATTGAAGGTCTTGCAGACTCCTACAACCTAGACTTTGGCAGGGGAACTTACAGGAAAGCAGCAGATTTCTCCACAGATGACATGATCCTTAATAAGAGTCTTGTTCTCCAGAGCTAGAGCCTTTCTTTTAATCCTTCACAACTTCATTGCAAAATTGGTTAGCTTATCAGATGCCTGTTCAGAACAAATTGTTTATGTATCATGTTTATTGCAAATGAATGTTGAGTGCACAAAGAAAAGAAGTTGAATCATTCTCCATGTGTCATGTCTGCAATAGTCTACGTAGTAGTTACTTTTCCACACCATGAAAAGAATACATGTGGAAGTCATTGATAGGAGCTCAGAAGTAGCTCCAATATGTGATAAAAAAAAGGAAAGTAGACTAACATGTGCATAGAAGAAGCATTCATAAGTTATTTGTTACAGTTGAAGGGGCTAGAAGGGGCAAGGGTAGACCAAAAAAGGACATGGATAAAGTAGTAAGAAAAATTTTAAACGCCAATAATTTAACCATGGATATGGCATTAAACAGAACAGACCGGCAAAACAGTATTTATGTCAATGTCACCGACTAGCTGGGGTAAGGCTTGGATGATAATGATGATGAAGATGGCCTCTTCCCAAAGAGAGAAAGTGTTGGTTCATTTGGGTCCCAAATGAAGTTGGTCGGATCATGTCAAGAGATTCATTAAAGTATTGGACAACTGACCCTTTTCCATTTTAACTAGAAAATCATGATTCATATAATGTTAAGGATAAAGAGAATGCTCTGAAGTTTTCTGATCTGAATTTAGATTATGATTTCATGAATAATACATAGATTTAAATACACTCTTAATATATAATGTGGGCATTCAAGAAGTAATATGTTCATAAAGTGAGTGTGGCAAAAATGCATATGCTGAGATGAATGAGTGGAAAAACTAGAAATGATAGGATAAGAAATGAAGTCATTGATAATAACTTAGGAGTAGCTCCAATAGATGATAAGGATAAAATGGAAGAAAGTAGGGTAAGATGATTTAGTCATATGCATAGAAGCATCATAAGAAGAAGGGATTTGTTATAAATTTACAATTGAAGGGGCTAAAAGGGTAAGGGATAGACCAAAAAGGACATGGGTAGATGTAGTAAGAAATTTATGTCACCGATTACATATAGTTGGGATAAGGCAATGATAATGATGATGAAGATGACCTCTTCCTAGAGAGAGAAAAGTGTTGTTTTATTTGGGCCCCAAACAAGGTTGGATCATGTCAAGAAATTCATTAAAGGACTAAACAACTGACCCTTTCCATTTTAACCAGAAAATCAAGATTCATCTATCTATACTACATAATGCAGATCTTGCCTTGAGTTATGTGTAAATAATAAAAGTTAAATCCAAATACCATGTATCACATATCGTTAATATTTGCTTGCACATGTGCATATCATGCGTTTACAATTTTTATTATATAAAACAAATACTTGCCTTGGGTTCTATGCAGGCTATAAAAGTTCAATCCAAATATCATATATCATTATATATGATTAATAATTACTTGCACACATGCATAGCACTTTATTGCATTATACTATATAAAGTTGATATTTGCATTGGGTTCTATATTGGTCATGATTGCTATTTACAAATATGCATAGCACGTGCTTTTATACTAGTATAATGTTAAGGATAAAGAGTATGCTTTACAGTTTTCTCATCTAAATTTAGAATATGGTTTCAAGAATAACTACATAGTGTATTCAAAGTTAACTAGATTGGGTCATACAATTCATTACATGACTGGCACAATAACTCTTTTCCATTTTAACTAGAAAATCAAGATTCATCTTTACTTTATAAAGCAAATACTTGCCTTGATTTTGATACAAATTGTAAAAATTAAATCCAAATATCATATATCATAAATGGTTAATATTTATTTACCACACGTACACATCAAGTGCTTTTATACTAATATAATATTAAGAATAATAATAATAATAAAGAGAATGATATTTTTGGTTTTTACTAAGCTAAAGAGAATTTTTTTATCAGTCTAAGCTAAAGAGAATATTCTTACATATAGTAAATACTTTCTTATAAAAGCAAGGAAATGGTAAACAATGTGGAAGATGATAAGGATAAGGAAGTCCAAACCTTAATGTGTAAGTATTCCTAGGGTGGTTATTTGGTGATTTTGATTCATTAGGTACGTTATTGGTGAAAAGACAAATGACACCCCATTGGCCCAAACATGATTCAAAAAAAAAAGGAAAAAAAAAACTGAATATGGGGGCATTATCTTTATCCTAAAAAAATCATTATGACAATATATGTAACTAGATAGAGAAATGCCCAAGTAGTTAAAAATAGGGAAAATTCCATTTTAGTACTCTGAACTTTGGAGTAGTGTCAAGTTAGTACCCAAACTTTCAAACGTGTCACTGTAGTACCTAAACTTTCAAAAAGTGTCAAATTGGTCATTGCCGTTGATCGACCATCAGTTATCTGTTGAAAATGTTAAAATTACCCTTCAAAAGAAGACATTATTCATTGTCTTCTATCTTGAGACTGAACTAGTTGAGGTGTTTGAGATTTTAGATTAATGAAGTCATTGTCTTCTACTTTTAGATTTGAAACACATTACTGTCTAGTTATTTCTTTGCCTTCAATTATTGTTTTCCTCCATCATATTTCATGTTTTTTTTTTTCTCTTTTTCTCTAAAAATAACTGGTTCATCTCAAGGTAGAAGAAGACAATGAGTTGTGTCTTCTTTTGAAGAATAATTTTGACATTTTCAACAAATAACTGACGATTGATTAATGACAGGGACTAACTTGGCACTTTTTAAAAATATAGGTATTGCATTGACATGTTTGAAAATTTGGATACGACACTACCTCCAAAGATCAGGATACTAAAGTGAAAATTTCCCTTAAAAATAAAAAGATGAAATCACTACCCTGTTCCTTTTTTTAATATTTGTGTTAGAATGTTAGTTGGTCCCTCAGAAACTTCAAGGAAACTGCTGAAGGTATTAATCATGATTTATCTTCAACGAGTTAAAATTCAAAAATATATCCACTCCACTAATTCTAAACATTATCCTATACATAAGAATGATCAATCAGCCCAGATCAAAATTTTATAACCCCAAAGTACAGAGGGAATGCATTTGACGGGCAGGATGTGGCTTATAGGGGGAGAGGGCTAATAGTTGAGGGGGCTGGAATTCAGAATTCTGCATTGTGTGTATCCATACTTGTCCGTTAATTAAAATCCATTTAGTAATGATAGAAATAGGGGGGAAAAGCGTTGGAGAGTTCCCGCCTCCCTGGTTGGTTTGTGAAAGATAGAGAGAATTGCGCCACGTGGCAAAATGCCGCCCTCAAGATAAGAGTCTGACATATGGCCAACATTCAAAAAAAGTGTCTACGCCGGGCAACCGTCCAAAAAGATGTAAATCAAGTTCAGCATTACCCCACGTTATGCCAATTTTCAGAATTTAGGAGACGTTACGTTACCTGCGCTTCGGTCCTTCCGCGACCGGATTACGTTAAGCTGAGCTGAGGGTATTTTCAGGGACAGGTGTCAAAAAAAATTTTTAACTATTTATTTACAGTGCTTTATCTACTTGATTCGAACTGAGTTCTTCCACCGCCACCGCTGCCTGGCCCTTGCCCTATTTCTTTCTAAAATCCAAACTGCTCTGTCAGATCAGTGTAACTTTTCTTTCACCTTAAAATCAGACCAGATTAGATAATCGAATAAAAAAATCAGAAATCAGCAAGTAATTGGTTTCATTTCATCTCAAAACCGTTATTTTCTTAAAGACCATTAATTTGATGGATTTTTATTTTCTTAAAGACCGTTTGAATCATTTAATCGTTACATGGATTTTTATTTTTTTATTTTTTTGTCAAGACAGGCTGTTTATTCGATTTGAACGATTGAACCGTTTAATCTAAGAACCGGATACTGATCGATTCGTTGTCCGGTTCGATTTTAAAAACCTTTAGTGCAAAAAACTCGTTGATGTTGGTTTCCTGCTCGTGGTCGACGTTGACTTGTCCTTAGACGGTTAAACTTAATTGGGGCTATTTTGGTCACAAAAAAAAAAAATCCCAAGAAAAAAGTTACCAGAGCGCGGTCGACGGTCGGTGTCTCGGTGAGCTGGATAAATGGGGGTATTATTATCTTTACGTCGGAAGACTACATCATGGTGTATGTATGGAACACCCACGCAGATTTATCTGGACGCTCGCTCGTGTGTGCAAATGAGGAGGGCCTTCCTTCCTTCTAGTCTCTTCCGCGAAACCACGTGTGAACTGTGAGCCAATTCGAGAACCTTCCTGTCGATCCGAATCACCGTTAGATCTTTCCATTTGCCACGTGTCTGCATATTACCGGGATCATTGGGCTAGTATAACTTACAAAAATATTTATTTACCCCTTTTCTTCCAGTAACTTCGCACCATATCGTCGTCTATTTAAGCAACCTAACCTCGCTTCATTCTGAAGGCCCAGTCATCAGTCATCAAGGCTTCTAGCTTTTCACTACAGACCTCTGTCTCTCTTGTCTCTTCTACGACCCACTCAGCCACTCTACTGCCAATTCATCTCATCGCAAACCTTCTTTGTTCTTTTCGATCTTTTCTCTTCGAGGCAAGCCTCTGATAGCTCCAACCCCTGTTCCTACTACGGTCCCTTTTTCAGTTTTTGACAGTTACTCCCTTCGATTACTCTCCTCTGCTCTAACAAGATCAGACCCATCATGGCTCCTAACCTCGTTAGCACTGCTGCGAAAACGGCTAGTTTGGTGAAACTGGCCAGTATGCCCAGCAGAGCTTACGTTACGTTCTTAGCAGGCAACGGCGACTACATCAAAGGCGTTGTCGGTCTGGCCAAGGGGCTAAGAAAGGTGAAGAGCGCTTACCCGCTTGTCGTCGCTGTCCTACCGGACGTTCCAGCAGAGCATCGTCGGATTCTTGAATCCCAGGGATGCATCGTCAAAGAGATAGAACTTGTGTACCCACCTGAGAATCAGACCCAGTTCGCCATGGCGTACTATGTCATCAACTATTCCAAACTGAGAATTTGGGAGGTATGTAGGTGTGCTTTTCTTAGCATTAATTTCTATGTTACTACTTGCGCGCATGGATGGTTTGGTTTGTTGCTCAAAGTCTCAAACACACAGCATGAGCATGCATGCACGGTCTGTAAGAATAAATGAAATTTCTGTGAATTGCAGTTCGTGGAATATAGCAAGATGATATACTTGGATGCTGATATTCAAGTGTACGACAACATTGATCATCTATTTGATCTGCCGGGAGGGTACTTTTACGCGGTGATGGACTGTTTCTGCGAGAAGACATGGAGTCACACACCGCAGTACAAGATCGGCTACTGCCAGCAGTGCCCGGACAAGGTGAAGTGGCCCGCTGAGATGGGTCAACCCCCTTCCCTGTACTTCAACGCCGGGATGTTCGTCTTTGAACCAAGCCTCTCTACCTGCGATGATCTCCTGAAAACCCTGAAGGTCACTCCCCCAACCCCGTTTGCAGAGCAGGACTTCTTGAATATGTTCTTCAGGGATGTATATAAGCCCATTCCTCTGATCTACAACCTGGTCTTGGCGATGCTGTGGCGTCACCCTGAGAACGTAGAGCTCGACAAAGTGAAGGTCGTTCACTATTGTGCAGCGGTAAGTGTTTATGCAGATTCTTTCAACCATTTCCTACTTGATAGCTCGGGGGTTGTGATGATGTTTTGTTAATTGGCTCTCTCTTCTTCTTGTGTATGTTCATATTCGAACAGGGTTCGAAGCCATGGAGGTACACAGGGAAGGAAGAGAACATGCAGAGAGAGGACATAAAGATGCTTGTGAAGAAATGGTGGGATGTGTACAACGATGAATCTTTGGGTTACAAGAAACCGGCGGCCACGACGGAAGACCAGGTCGACCCGTCGGCTGTGGATCACCTGCAACCATTACTCGCGGCGTTGTCGGAGGCAGGAGTGGCTCACTGCGTCACCGCCCCTTCGGCAGCGTAGTTACCAATTTACCATTGGCTCCTTTATTATAATCAGACAGATAGCCACAATGTGTGAAGGTGTAGGTGTGAAAAGAGCAAGAATCAAAAATATGATGTGTGAGTGAGACAGGTCCCCCTCGGTTTATATGTGTATGGGGACATGATTGTCATTATGATAATTCTGTCTCCTCTCACCTTTTTTTTTTTTTTTTCTTTAATTTTTTTGAGAAGTCAGATTTAAATCTCCATGACTCCATGGAGTATGTCCATGCTTTTGTCAATTAAATTAATTAATATTATTATAATGTATCTATCCAAAAAAGTTAATGTTATAATGAAGAATGGTTGTATTTGTGTATCTTTTCATTTTTGAGTTGTATCGACCATCTTAATCTACTTAGGTTTCATCAAGATATCATCTAATTAAAGGTTTTTAATTCAAGTGGGTACGCGACATCCATGATTTCGTACCAAGACATCTATAGTTAGAAAGACAAGTTCTATTTCTCTTTTCAAGCCTTTTTTTTCTTCTTCTCTCACTACGATCAGGGGTTTGCCTTGTTCCCATGGTCCCTCCCCGTCAGAAAATGGAGATGTCTGCTTAAAACAAAATCTGTACCAACACGGTACCAACATCATCTTTGTCCACACCTCACCGTGAACATCATCTTTGTCCATGATCTGTGCCCACACACACCTCACCATGAGGCTGGGGCCTAGGGGCCATTATTTTAACCCATCATCAGAGTTCAAATCTGCGCCCCACCTGCTCTCGCCCCACAAACGCTCCACACGTTGAGCGTCCGCCATCTGTTCCTTCGCATGCAATTAGCTTGTCCCGGGATGGCCGTTAGTTCATCCCGTTGGCCCAAAAACTAGCCCAAAACCGAGTCAAACATTCCCGCGTGCTTGAGCTGCCGGTCCCCTGAACCCTGTTCTTCCCCCCTCACCCGATTTCTCCTCCGGCACCGGCGACCGCTCCGGTCAGTTCACCTTGGCCAGGTATTCTCCAACGAGCAGTGCTTTGACGAGGGGTTGAAGTTGATTGGCTTTTAATGGTGGTTCGAATGATGCATGTTGCCTCTCGGTGGAGAAGGAAGGAGTTGTGAGTAGAACTTCGAAGGTGTTTTCATGGCGAAGGAGAAGCTGCTTTGACAGTTCGTTGAGGAAAATCGAATCTGGACTGTTTTTTAATTGTTCCGAGGATTCGCGCGTCATAATCCTCGGAATTCTAAGATCATCTTCGATAATAAATACTAGTAAAATCTTTTGAAAAGCAAAAAGGTGGGTCAGTCGGTGGTTCACCGAATTTGCAATCAGTGGCCCACCGAGTTGAACCCACCATTTAATGGCACACCATTTGCAAACCACCGGTTATGGTTTGTTTAATCATGAAGAAAATTTTCATAAATGCTCATTATACCCCTCAGTCCAGGTGTGATTCTGGTGATGTTATTTTGTATTTTTTTTCCTATTTATAGTAAGAAGGAAGTTCTGAGTTGTTGCCCATGGACGTAGGTAATTTTGGCCGAACCATGTAAATCTAGTGTTCTCTCTTTTTTCTTTCTTTATTGCTATCAGATTTTGTTCTATTTCTGTGCACGTATAGATTACATTATTTTTGCTGTGCAATTCCAACAATTGGTACCAGAGCAAAGCATGGTTCTGTTCCGGGATTCTGCCAAAATCTATATTTGCTGTTCCGGTATTGCATGTGTTGAATATGTTGAGTTCGAGCTCTACCCGGTTCGATATATCGAAATTCAACAGATCCAACTATGCAATTTAGAAGCTAAAGATGCATGCTGTGTTGGTGAAAGAATATTGTGCAATTGCCTTAGAAGGAAAAGAAAAAAAACCTACTGATATGAAAGACGAAGATTTTGAGAAGAAAAACCAGATAGCCATGACTGATATTTTTCTTACTTTAGAAGATTCGGTTCTATTCAACGTGTCTGAGGAAACCACTGCCAAAGGTTTATGGGACAAGTTGCGGAATCTCTACGAGGGGAAATCGATGTCCAACAAAATCTTTCTCCGACAACAACTCTACAATCTGAGGATGAAGAATGGAGCCTCTTTGCAAGTACACTTGAATGAGTTCAACACTCTAGTAAGCAAATTAGCAGCTGTAGAAGTACGTATTGATGACAAAGAAAATGTTGCTCTTTTGCTTTGCTCTGTGGCAGACTCTTGGGATAGTTTGATAATGAATTTGAGCAATACTAAAGATCTATCATTAGAATCTACTATTTCTATGTTGCTTACGGAAGAATCTCGTAGAAAAGTTGGTGAGAATTCTTCAAGTGACGCAATGATGGTACGAGGTAGATCGAATGAGAGAAACGGCTCTACTAGAAATCAAACGAGATCCAAGTCAAGAGGCAACAAGAAATGACTCAAGTGTTGGAATTACGGTAAGAAGGGGCACCTTTGAAAAGATTGTCGACAACCTAAAGCAGAGCAAAATCAGCTCAACTCTGATAAAGATCCGGCTTCAAATAATTCCCAAGGAAACATCGCAGAAGGAAGTGATTCATTAAAAGATGGTGAGGTACTGTCTGTTGATTCTTGTGAAAATTTAAAGCATAACTGGATATTAGATTCTGGTGCTTCTTTCCATATGATGCCATGCAGAGATTGGTTCTACACATACCAATCGTGCGATGGTGGGACTATTTACATGGTCGATAATAGCACATGCAAAATAGTGGGAATTGGAGACGTTAGAATTACTATGTTTGACAATATCACTCGTACAATCTATGGTTCCTGAACTACGAAAGAGTCTCCTGTCACTGGGAAAGTTTGATGAAGACGGTTACAAGTTTTCTGGAGAAAAAAGCCAATTGAAGATCAGTAAATGAGCTATGATAATTGCAAAAGGCAAATTACAAGGGAAGCTGTACCACCTGATCGGGGATACCATGGTCGACGATGCCATCACTGCAAATGCTGTGACCGATTCCGTCATGATTTGCCACAAACGTTTGGGTCATATGAGCAAGCAAGGACTTAAGGTACTTCTTGATCAAAATGTACTTCCTGGTTTAAAATCTACTTATTTGAATTTCTGTGAAGATTGTTTATTTGGGAAACACCACAGAGCTAGTTTTCCCAAGTCTAAAGCTAGGAGTAGAGAGGTATTAGATCTAATACACTCTGATACGTGGGAAGCTACTACAAAATCTCTTGGAGGTTCGTTATACTTTGTCTCTTTTATTGATGATTTCTCCAAGAAAGTATGGGTATATATGCTCAAACAGAAGAGTAACACTTTTTCCTATTTCAAAAAGTTCAAAGCTCTAGTTGAAAATTAGAAGGGGAAAAGAATTAAGTGTCTGAGAATCGATAATGGGAAAGAATATACCTCGAAAGAATTTGAAGATTTTTGCAATGAGCACGGCATTTCGAGACAGTATATAGTTCCACGAACTCCACAACAAGACGGAGTTGCTGAACGGATGAATCGTACACTTATGGATCGAGCTAGAAGCATGTTGAGTGCAGCTGGGCTGGAGTAGTGCTTTTGGGCATAAGCAGTCAATACGATATGTTACCTAGTAAATCGCTCTTCCACTACGACACTTGATTGCAAAATTCCAGAAGAGGTATGTTCAGGAAACCCTGTTGATTATTCTTTCCTATGTACCTTTGGTTGTGATGCTTATGTTTGGATTCCTAAGGAGCAGAGGACCAAGCTAGAGGTAAGGTCCAAAAAGTGTATTTTTCTTGGCTATGCAAAAGGTACAAAGGGATACAGATTGTGGGATCCTACTGCCCACAAGATAATTGTTAGTCGAGATGTTGTCTTCAATGAAGATTCGATGCAGAAAGAATCAAGCTCTAAGACAGTAGAGAAAGTTGAAGTGTGATCTTTTCAAAGGAATCAAGAGCAACAAATTGATACAGCTGTTTATGTACCTGAAGAGCACATTGAAAATTTTGAAGGAGTGACTCACGGTGATCAAGGTCGATCGATGAGAGCTATAAGACCTTATGTCCGGCTTCAGAATTATGTAATAGCTTATGCTTGCATTACAGAAGAGCACAAGCCTTGTTCATACTAGGAAGCATGCAAATGTCCAAATGCTCGTCATTGGCAAATGGCAATGGAGGAAGAAATGGAAGCTCTGAAGAAAAACAAAACTTGAGACTTAGTCAAACTACCTAAGAATCGAAAGGCCATTGGTTGTAAATGGGTGTACAAACTCAAAAAGAACACTAGCGGGAATATCGAAAGATACAAAGCTCGACTAGTTGTAAAAGGATATGCTCAAAAATCAGGTATCGACTTCAATGAAATATTTTCTCTTGTTGTTCGATTAAGTACTATTCGTATTCTATTGAGTATGGCTGCAGTACTTGACTTGGAACTCGAGCAGTTAGATGTTAAAATTGCATTTTGCATGGTAATCTTGAAGAAGAGATTTATATGACTCAACCTGAAGGCTTTGTCGATGACGACAAAAATGATCTAATTTGTCAGTTGACCAAATCACTTTACGGTCTAAAACAGGCGCCAAGGTGTTGGTATAAGCGATTTGATTCCTTCATTGTGAGCTTGGACTTTAGCAAATGCGAAGCAGATCATTGTGCCTACACATACTTTGGTAATGATCACCTCATCATTTCGTTGTTATATGTTGATGACATGCTAGTTGCAGGTACTGATAAAGGAAGTATCTCAACACTGAAAGCTCGTTTAGATAGGGAGTTTGACATGAAGGATCTGGGGGCGGTTAATTAGATTCTTGGGATGACGGTATATAGGGACAGAAAGAACATGAAAGTCTGGATAACTCAAAAGAATTATGTTCAAAGGGTCTTGTGGCGCTTCAACATGCAAGATTCCAAACCAGTTAGTATCTCATTTTCTATTGGTTGCAAGTTGTCTTCGGAACAATCACCTAGCACTGAAGCTGAGAAGATAGAGATGTCCCACATACCATATTCATCAGCAGTAGGGAGCCTTATATTTGCCATGGGGTGCACCAGACTAGACATTGCACAAGCAGTGAGAACAGTCAGTAAGTTTATGGCAAATCCAGGAAGAGATCATTGGATTGCGGTGAAGAGAATCCTTTAGTATTTGAAGGGTACTTCTGAAATCTTCATTTGTTATAGTGGCCAAGCTTAAAACTAGTTGGTTATGTGGATGCAGACTATGCAAGAGATCGCGATAATAGAAAATCAACTACTAGTTATGTGTTTTCTTTAGCTAATGGTGTAGTGAGCTGGGTATCAAAATTGCAATCTGTAGTGGCCTTATCTACAACAGAAGCAGAATATATGTCAGCTACACAAGCATGCAAAGAAAGTATTTGGCTAAAGAGGTTGCTTGAAGAATTCTACATC